GACAACCGTACACTTGCGGTTTTCCATACATCAAAAAGCAAAAATGTTACATTCTCTTTTTTAAATCTTCTAAAAAATGAAAGGTTATTTTGTCCTAACCCAATAAAAGAAGTCATCCTCTCTCTTATTTCACTCCCCTTTCCTAGTCTTCATACTCCTACCAAAAGTTATGGCCTAAATGAAATTTTTTTAATATTGACCTAGTCACATGTCAATATTTAGATGATTTTTTTCATTAAGAATAATATGTGTAAGAAAAGGGGAAGTGGATCCTAAGTTGTTATGGAGCCTTTAAAATAGTTTCAGGATCTATTAAGTTCAAAAAAGGGGAAGGGAGAAGGGGGGAGGGGAAAGGACAGGGAGAAAAGGAGTTGAAATTTTGTTTAGTTGAAAAGAAGGGGAGAGGAAAAAGAGATAGTTTTTTTCTTATTTGGTTCATGAGGGGAGGGATTTTTTAAAACCAATTTACTGTATATATCATTATAATTTTAAATTTAAAAAATAAGTAAGGATATTATACTAAAAATATTTTAAAATCCTTCCTTCTCCCTCTAAACAGTATTGGAAGCAGTGTTTTAAAAACCGAACTAGACATTGAACCTGTGAGAGTACTGGGTCAATGGGTCAATGGTTAGACTGGTAGGTCACCTATTAAACCGCATGACCCGATTTTTATTAAAAAAAATTAAAAAAATATTTGTTATACATATTTCATACCTATAAATTTTTTTTAAAAAAATCACATCATACCTTAAAAAAAACTCCAAAAAAATTACAAACACATTTTAACATAATTTTATAATGTCATTCATGAGTTTGAAGCAAATAAAACAAGTTCTAAATATGAGTTTCAAACAAGTAAAAAATTTCTTCTAATTCTCTTTATTTCTTTTAATCTTTTTTTTTTTTTACAATTATCATAATATTTTAGAAAATGCTACCAATATCTTAAAGAATCAAAAAATCGCACATTTTCTTGTGATTTTATAATTTAATGAACCTTATAACTTGAAGCAACGGCGCGGTGGTGCGACGAGGCGGCGGTGCAACGATGCGGTAGTGCGACGGTGCGACTATGCAGTGGTGCAGCGGTGTGGCTGTGCGGCTTTGCAGCAGTGCGGCAGTGCAACTGTGCAGCGATGCGACGGTGCGATGAGTGACGGTGCGAGAGGGTTGGGTTTGTGTCTTAAAATCAAACTCTGAAAAAAAAAACTTAGGGTTTTTGAAAGAGGAAGATTAAGCGCAGTGTGCAACAAATGGGCAGAGACATTTAAAAATTGAAGGTTTTATTTTTTAAATTGAAAAAATGACGCCGTTTAATTAGGTTTTTGAAAGAGGAAGATTAAGCGCAGTGTGCAACAAATGGGCAGAGACATTTAAAAATTGAAGGTTTTATTTTTTAAATTGAAAAAATGACGCCGTTTAATTATTTTTTTTCCAAAAAAAGTGATGACCCGGTTTGGGTCATGAGACCCGCAAGTTGATGGTTCAACTGGGTTTTTAGCCGGTTCACACCGAGTCAGCTGCACATCCGGTCTGATCACTGGTTCAGCTCGGTCAAACCACCAGTTTCCGGTTTGACCGGCCAGTTCGAACCGAGTTTTAAAACACTGATTGGAAGAGAGCTAAAATTAGATGAGGAAAGGTTTTGCTTCGCTCCGTTCTCCTTCAACCAAAAACTATGTAAGTGAGAATAGTGAGGGATGTGAGATCAAGGAAAGTCTTTTTATCTTTTTTCCCAAAAATGGGCAAGGCCCATTAAACCTTTACCTACATTAACCTAGTATTTACTTTAAAAGGAAAAAATCACCTAAACCCTACATTCCCTTTATTGGTGCGTGATTGCCACCTTCTCTCTTTCTCCTTACCTTTTGCTTTCTATACACTATTGGAAACGTGAGGAACCCTAGACCTAGGGTGGAGTGTGTGGAGCACTTTTTCTTCTTTCAAGTTTTGCTTAGGAAGCCAAGTAAGAGAGATCATCTTTTGGGTATTTTTTCTTCATTCTATATATGCGTCTGTGTGTGTGTACATGATGCTTCATATGTTTTATGTATGGATTTGGATTGTCACAAGGCTTAGATGGCATGTTTATGGGTTTTGATTGTGTTTGAGTAATATGCATGCATTGTGTTTAATGATATATTTTCTTTGAGAAACTTGTTAAAAATGATGATTGGAGCAATGAGGAATGATTGTGGTTTGTTTCAATAGTGAATACTTGATTTTGTGGATGATTTGTTGGATTTGAATTGGCTGGTTAGATCGAGAAATTGATGAATCAATCCCTTGACTAATTCGAATAAATTACATAACAAGAAAAAAACAGGTCAAAGAATTGAAAAACTAATCAAAATTAGTAGAAATTGGCTAAAAATTGATTCACAATGGATCAACGAAAAATTCATAACAACAATATTTTTTATCTTAGAAAAAATGAAAAATAACCTATAATATTTGCCATTTTTTTCTTTTGTAAATATAAATTTGTTATTGTTAAGAAATGTTAGATGTGTATTAGTGGAAAATTATGTTTATCATAGTTGGAGTTTGATTTCGAAGAGAAGTGGCAGAATAGCTAAAATGACAACACATTTCCTTCTTGTTCTTTGCTTTTTGAAAGTTAACATTTTTGCTTGCTATGTTTTTTTTATACAATCTGTGGATGGCTAGTTGATATGGTATTTTGATGATTTATGAGAAATTCATTGTATCTTCTGCATGATATGACTTGTGACATAATCGCATAGTTACATTAAGCTCTCTCATTCTTTGCACATTTTTAATCGAACATTCTCAACATTATTTATTTATGGTTTAAAACATTTTTTTTAACCAAAAAATATGTAAAAATTCATTGTTTTAGTCTTCTAGTTTTAAAATTGTCTTTTGGTCCTCTGTCTATATATATTTTAGTAAATACTTGATTTAATTTCTAAAATATGATATAGGTGGTTGATAAATTCTTGAAAGATTTTTCATGACATTTAAGTCCCTAAATTTTAACTTCGTATAAATCCTAAGTTATTAAATTTGAGGTTTAGCAAAATGAGTGATCATTTTGAAAGGCTTCAAAACAAAAATGCGTGATTCAAAAAGGACACTACTACTGTGTTTAATGAATCATAAAACTCCTATGATAAAATTGAGGGAAAAGCTTAAGAGTAATGGTAATGAGTGAGAAGAAATAAGTCAAAGCGTCACTTCAATTATTCTAAAACTAAATTAACAATTAAACCTTATTTTGTCATATGCCTAAATTTACTTAGTTTATAACTGGTCATAAGACTAACAAAGTTAATAATTAAGTATAATGGAAAAACTAACTTACATAATGAAGTCAAAATTTAGAGTTTATGATGAAGTTAAAATTTAGAGATGAAATGTAGAGATGAGAATAGGTCGAATCTAAAATAGGGGTTTATGCCTTAACTTGTTTTAAATTTTACCTATTTAATAAAAGGTTAGATTTAGATTTTTACAAAATTCTATTTATTTAAAAAGGTTGGACATAGGCTTATAAAAAAATCTAGGCTAGTTTATTTATCTATATGATATAATAAACAAATATATATTACATTTTTAATAATATAAATAAATAAATTTGTAATAAAAAAATCAAATTATCAATATTTTTTTTTACATTTCTACTGTACTTAAATGTTTTACATTCTTTATTCATACAAAAAAAAAAAAAATTTCAACGGTCTTATCTTTGCCTGCTCTTTGTCTTCGTCTTCATTATTGATTATTTAGAATATATATAGAAAATATCTATAAATTTTTTTATAAGATTATTTTCTTTCCTTACAATTTGTGCACAAATGTACATAACTATATATGAGTTGTTCTTAAGATAGTTTTTATTTTTATTTTAAACTATAAATTTTAATAATAATAGAGTAAACTAATTTTTTTATCATACAAATTAAAAAAAGTCTCACATATGTATATTGACTTTTTTAAAATTAAATTTATTGGTCTATTTAATATTGTTAATGCAAAATAAACTTTTAAGTTGGATATAAGTCAGACTAAACTTTAAAAAATGATAGATCAGACTTATCAAAAAAATATAATAAATAATATGACAAACTTAAATTTTAATTTTATAAAACATATTTGACCTGCAAATTCAAAGCTCGACTTAACTTATTCTCATGTCTATTAGATAATAAAAAAATACTTTAAAAGATAAAATGTAATGATAATCGATAAAAATTAAAAATGACAATAAAATCAAATACATACAATATAAAATACAAAATTAATTATTATATCTATTACTAATTTTTTAATTATCATACCTCATTCTTTATCCTAAAATCTCTTCACTTTATAAATTCTGGATATTATTATTATTTTTATTTTATTTATATTCTATCATATCTTATACCTTATCCTATATCCTATATTATGTAACAAATCATAAAAGACTCTTGATTAATACTTGCATGAAACCTTACATTCTAAACCTTAAACACTATCACATTCACGTTGAAAAATCCAGATGGCAGTTATGGTAAATAGAGGATGAAGTGATGTCCTTTCAGCAAAACACAAAACCTGAGCACATCGCTTCCCAAGATACGCGCCACTCCACTCCTTCAATTCATAGTTTCCCGCGCCAAATACTTCACATTTGCCACCTTCACAAACCCTAACAAACCAAAACCTCAATCTCTCTTCCTTCTCAACCAATCCTAGTTCAGTCGAAACCTCCAAAAACATGTTCTATTCTCACACATTTTTGGCGCGAAAAGGCCCTCTCTCAACGGTGTGGATCGCCGCGCACCTCCAGCACCGCCTAAAAAAATCGCACTATGCCATGACCGACATCCCCTCCACCGTCCGTAAGTAAAACGCCGTCGTTTCTCCGATTCCAAACATTCTCCAAGCTTCCATTTTGTTCTTGATTAGGTTTTTGTTTCTTGTGTTGTTTTTGTTCTTGTTGTTGTTCAGTGCGCATCATGGACCCTGGTGTTCCCATCGCGCTCAGAATGTCGGGGCACCTTCTCCTCGGCGTGGTTCGGATATACTCCAAGAAAGTGGAGTACTTTTTCCAAGATTGCAAAGAAGCGTTGACGGGTCTCCACAAAGCCTTAGATAATCTCAAAACTACTCATCAAGAAGAAGCTAGGCCTGTCCCGTTTAGTACCATCACTCTGCCGGAAACCTTCGACCTTGATGCCCAGAACATAGACCTCCAATTAGATCATGATGGGTAACAATTTATTACCCTTTTCACTTTTTTTTTGCTTGGTTTAATTTTGAGCAAATTATACTGACAATCCATGAGGTTTGGTGAGATTGCACACAATTTTCGAGCTTCTTTTTATGTTTAAAACAATTTCCCTAATTGGGGTTAGCGCGTAATGCATGCCTTTGTGTAATATCTGATGGGCGTTAGTGTAATGTTTTTCAAATAATTAAGGGAGCTTGTGCAAGATTAGAAAAGAATAGGGGTGTATATACAATTTTACGAAATTTCAGGAGTGTTGGTGTAATTTACTCTTTAGTTTTTTTTATGGTGTGATTTGTGTTCACTCTCATGGATAATTGGGTTTATGTTTCAGGGCTGAGGATCTTCACTTGAGGAATCCAGAAGATATCACGCTAACAGGTTTTTTGATTGAATGAGTTGTATTACTGTTTGTTAGAATAAGCAACTAATTAGTCCCTGAAGGTTTTAAATTTTAAATTGTGGTTGTGGTTGTGAAATAATTGTATAATGTGGACGAATGTGGTCAATGAAGCCACACTTGGTGGTCACATTTTGGTCACGGGCACTCAAGAGCCTTGTTGTTGCAACTGAAAATTGCGGTGGTCTACCATTCTTTAAAAGCTTGAATTTGTGTTTGAGGGGAACATTGTATCAGTGGAAGAAAGATTTGTAGTTGGTCAGTCATGTTAGTTTCTTTGAAAGATGAAAATTGTTTTTAGTGTTTCACTCACTATGTGTATTTTGTTAGTTGATGGGAAGTCAGTGATATGAAGTCTTGTTTAACCATATAAATGGACATTTGGGGACCTTGGGTGTTGTTTCCATTTTTCAGTGAGTAGTATGGCAATCTATGTCTTTCAGTCTTCAGGGACTAATTTGATTATGTACTCATTGCCTGCCACTTCAAAGTTTTGTGAGCACATAGAAGTTGAGGATCTTCTGACACTTGTGAATTTGCAGATCAAGTTCCTGTCACAACAGATTATTATGTGACTGTATCTTTTGATGAGGTGCAGCCTTATTCCCTTTATGTTACCTGTGTTGTGTGTAACTTCTATTATTTTTTTGAATGATGTGGTTTTGGAATAGCAAATTTGTTTCACTCACTGTACTTTTTTTTGTGTGTTTAGGATATAATGATGGATTCTTCACATACAGAAGTGCTACCTGATTCTGGAGCTATACTAACAGAAGTGCCACCTGATTCTGGAGCTATACTAACAGAAGTGCTACCTGATTCTGTAGCTATACCAATGGAAAAGTACGCATGAATGCATTTTGGTTTTTCTATTTTTGGGCTTATGGCCAATGAGATAATACATTGTTTTGTTCCTACAGCATTGTCGCTCAATCTCCACCAACGAATGTCATGGGTGCTAAAGATCATGGTCCAAGTACCCAAGAAAAATCGCCAACTATCCAGCATAGTGATGGATTGGGACCCAATGTTCATAGTGTTCCACACGCAACCCCAGTTGGATCAGTGGAACGTATTCGGGGTCCCTACAATGATATTAATCCAGAAAATTCTCCATTATTTTCAAATCTTGGGGCTAATGACTCTGAATCAAACAGAAATCATGACCAAACTGTGAATGAAAATGATCATGTTTCTGAAACGTTTTGTGATTTGGTTCCTGAAGGGATTCCTGTACCATCTCAGCTACATTTTAATCCGCCTACTCCACCAACCTCTCAAGGGGGCACCTCCAATGCACAAGTTCATGATGGTCTGTGTGCATCTATCTATATCTCTTGCGTTTCATATAGATCCTAGAAATACAAAACTTTACTTTTTTCTTCCTTCACTGTTTCAGAGAATATTTTCCCCCCTTTTGAGCTTGATAAAAGTCCACCAGTCCAGCAGCCGCAGCGGAGAGCAAGAAAAAGAATACAATTCTTCGATGAATCCATAGTGTTAACAAATGGGTAATAATTTAAGATTTGTTTTTGTTGAATTGCTTCCTCATGCAACTTATATAGTTTATACCTGTTTAGTTATAAGTTTCTGTTCTTGCTATGGTTGTTACTTCTTTGTAGATTCATGAGGAAGGCACTTAATAACCCTCGTGATATACTGAGGAAAAGAAAGGATCTTCCTTCCTCTAGTTTGGGTACATGGAAGTTGAACAATAGTCGAAGAAAAGAACACATTTTTGACCAGCCCTTGTTAACTGGTAGGCTGATTTCTATCTTCTATTTTGCCGATTGTGATACGTTGTAACTTTTTAAAATTGTGATCTGAAAACTTATGGCTGTGTTCAGGGGTTTGCAAGGATCTTTTGGACATATCCAAAAGTGAATATGTACGTTCAAGACCCCATTTGGTGATCTCTGAGGAATATCAGGCAGATGCTAGTATGGCTGAAACTCTTTCTCCTACTAACCAACCCCCTGAAGAGCCAATAGCTGCTACTATTGAATCCCCTGAAGAGCCAATGGCTGCTACTAACGAATCCCCTGAAGAGCCAATAGCTACTACTAACCAACCCCTCGAAGAGCTAGTAGCTCCTACTGACCAAACCTCTGAAGTGCCAATACCTGATACATCTCCCGTTGATGCATTTGATATGGAAATTGAACACCGTCGTAATGTTGCTGTCACTCCCCTTATCACTGTCCCAGAACACGATGTTGTTGAAGGTGACTACATGAGTGCCGATAAAAGAGATGACTTGACTACTATGGCTTCACCCCCTAATACACCAGTTGTTTTTTTGGGAACAAATATTGCATCTGAGAGAATGCAGACACTACATTCAGCAGGGTCACCTAGTGCTTATGGATCGGAGACAATGCAAACACCGGATTCAGATGCTTATCACTTGACCGATTCTGCTAAAACAGATGTAAGCTTTAAGGTTTTGTTACAAATGCTTTCATATAGTCTCTCTTGATTAACCACATCCCATTTCCTTTCCATGCAAAGTGTTTATTCTGGTTACTTTTTTTGGAAAAGGAATATGTGAGGCAGAATAACTGTAAATCTGCAACTTTTAACTCCCTTAAGATATTGTTGTATTTGCGACAATAACGAGTCTTTCCAATAGTTAAGTGCTTCAATCATTGTTTTTTAATTTTTTAGGAATTAAAGGTCATTTTAATTAAAATGCTTGCGTGACAAGTTCTCTTCTGATCATTTTTTTCAAACTAGTCGCAATAGCATAAAATCTCTTGTATTCTATTTATTTTTATGTGGCCACTTATATGGTTTTGCTTTTGGTGTATGTATTTGCAATAATTTATATATACTTGCCTCTCCTCTGCCTCGTCTATTTTCACCATCCGTGGTTTCCATTCTTGTTGGGTAGCAGAACATTTGCTACTAGTAATGTTACTTGGAATGCTGTTAAAATGGTTGAATTGAAGCTGTGCGTGCATCTAATAGGTTTGTCCAACTTGTTTATGTAGGAGTTTTGGTTTCTGACACTGGACAGCAAAACATCAGCAAGTAGGTTCTATTTCAATCTCATCTTCAATTTGATTTTTCTGTGAAATACCCTTGTTTTACTTATTTATTGTGGCATTGCTTGTATTATATGATGCTTAGATGATATTAGACGGTCAGTTTCTTTTATTGACATCAGATGTATAGTAGATAACATGAGTAATTTATGCAGGTTCACATGGTACAAGTGGAAGTAACAAGACATTGTCTGAAAGAACCAAGTACTTATTCAGTTCTCAATACTACCATATAATATGCATGTTTTTGTTAAAGATGTTCTTATGTAAACTAAAATTTTCTGAGGCAGTTGATATTACTTGCTAGATAGCTATAAGCACTGCAGTTACCTCTATTCCCTCATCCCTTGATTTGAAGAACAACTATTATGAATCTTAATGGCTTCTGATCAATAATTGAAGTTAATAAAATAGACTTAATAGTAATGCACTAATAAAAATGGCTTGTTGGATAGCCTGTTCAAGTATGAATATTGTGAATTTTTTTCTCAAGCAAGCCATTATGATGCAATTTTAACCAGGACTAGAAAATAAGAAATTCAACATGGAAAGAGTTACTACTGAAAATAGATGTGTATATTATTTATGAAAATAAGAGATTGCATAGGAATCAATATTCCTACTGCCAAGAGCTAAGCTCCTACAGAGGGCAAGGTTCTTTGCTCATAACTAAACACAAGACTGCCAGAGTTAAGCTCCTACAGAGGGCAAGGTTCTTTGCTCATAACTAAACATAAGACTGCCCACACTTCTCTTTCCCCTAAGCTCCTCCCATATAACCAAATTCCTACACTCCCTTCTCTCTCTCTCTCTCTCCATATTGTGGGCATGGACGGCTGCTGTGGGAGTGGCCCATTTAACCGGAGTTCCCATATGAAGTCCTACCACCTTTTCCTTTTCAATTAAAACTATATATTTTTTGGGTATTTTAATTAATTTTTTTTCCTACATAATCCAGGGACTTTCAAATTCTGAACTTGTGAGGTACTTTACTTCGCAGGAACTTTTACACAACTTTCTTCCCTCTTGCTTGGGCCTGAAAAGATTATTCATTATAAGACACATGCATTAGAGTGAAATAGGAGACATCAAATAACAAACATGACCATGTATGAAAATATAGTGTGGAATTATTTTCTGGTAAATGGATATAATAACTAGATGAATGATACGGTAATAATTGGTGAGGCAATCTGTAAAGAAATCTTAGCAATTTAAACCATTTTCTTCATGTTGTATTTTTTTCCCAGGAGTTGGAATGTGCTAATTCACACCTTGTATAAATTGTTTATGTTCTTTTGCTTCTTCATTGTAGTTTTTATAGTGTCTGAACATTGGTAATATTGTTCACATGTGTAACTTCAGGCACACAGCACAATATTTGGAAAAACTTTCTACAATCACCCCAATTTTGGAGGAACCTGCTGGAGATCTCAGCTTGAACAAGATATTGAAAGGGAGAACTAAACATGTTGCTGCTCGGATGTTCTTTGAAGTATTGGTGGGTTTCGATTTTTGAAACATTTCCATCCATGTAAAAGAACCTCAATTATTTTCAAATAATCTGAATATTTGTTGTTTGTGGGTGCATGTTTTTAATGACTAGAATTACACACACACACATATAGTGAGAAAGCAATAAAAGTTGTGACATTTTTAAAACTTAAGACTTTTCAAATTAATCTTATGACTTTTATTAACCTTTATTCTTGACTATCTATGCATGGTTGTATAGTTAAGATTTAATCACCTCACGGGTAAAAATTGCTTTCTCACTAGACAATACATATCTCTCTGTCTGTCTACCTATCTAAGTTTGGATGATGTTTGTTTCTTCTGATCAACATAAATAAATTATAGCTCTGAATCCTTTTTACAGATTTAGGTTTTTGTTAACCTTTGATAGAAAAATGTGTATTCAATTCTACTATAAAATTAAGAGATATATATTTTTATTTTTATACCTGAATTCAAGTTCTAACAATAACTCTTTCATCAAACAATTATCCTCCACCCCCAACTTTTCTGTTTTTATGACCTGTACAATTTATCTTGTATAACTGATGTGGAAGTTGAATTACAGGTCTTAAAGACGAATGATCTTCTTGATGTACAACAAGAACAACCTTATGATGATGTCACCTTGAAGTTGGCCCCTTCGCTTCAAAATGCTCAAAGTTGATATTAAGTTCCTTGTGACAAGCCCTTGTGTACATAGGTAAAATTTCTGTACATTTTTAAGACTTTTATAACTCGAGTAGGATAAAAAGTGATAATAGAAACTAATTGAGTAGGAAAGAATGATTGTTGGGGGTTTGACTAATTCTAGTGGAATATTGAGTGAGTAAAAATATTACGTGGAAAACCCTCAATTGATAATGAAAAAATCACGGATAAGGTTAGAGAAATATTTTTACCAAGTGAAAGAGAAATTACAAACTTTTTCTTTATACAAGGAGATAACATTAACACACTCTTATAATAGGAGAATACACTCATTTAGAGCGCTCTTGCTTCTAACTCTCAAATGAGGAGCTGCAATTTAGGATGCTATTCTAGGGGATCATTCATAAGGCTTTATTTATATCCTATGTTTGGAAGTCTTTACCGAGACCCACATGATGTAGGACTAGGTCTCTAACAGAGCATCGCGCTGTTCCCTCAAATCATGTTTGTAGATTTTAGTTTTGTTCAAATCTGTACCAAGTTTATAGTCATTTTATTACATATTCCTTATATTTTTTTGCCTATGCTGATTCCTCTGCTTTTCAATCTTGACACTATTATCATATTCCTTCTCTGGAGAAATCCAGGGATGAGAGGAAAATGAAAGGATGAAAAGAAAAGTTCTTCAGTGTTTTAACCTAAAGCTACTTTGTTCAGAGGATATCCATGCCATACAACCCAAAATATGTTTTTTCATCCGTTTGAAACGTCTTTGATTCTTCATGCTTCTCTCATTTTTTTCTTTATTGATTTGCAGGTGGATTTCTAGCCTAGGACGGAAATGCGTTTTGGGCGTACAAGGCAAAATTATGACCAGCTTAAAGAGATGGTCTTTGTCAATGTTTTGCATGTAAATTTGAATTAGTGTTTATTTTTATATTAAATTATAATGATTGGATTTATTATTTAATCCATATATAGTTGGCCAACAAAAGAAGAACTTAAATTAAGATTATGTGTTTTTCTACCTTCTAGTTTAGTCTGATATTCGTGTTAACTTTATTAAGTGTGGGACATCAAACATTTTAAAAAATAATTTTAAATTTCTACTTAAGTTAATTGAAATTTTAGGAAAATTTATTTTATTTTTATTTTCTTGTTTAAAAGTACGTTTGGAACAAGAGTCAAACATGTAGGATGTACAAAAAAAATTGGGAGATAAAAGTTGATGTTCCAAGAGCCAAATTGCTTGTGTTTGCTTCTGAACTAGTACTTTAGTCCATATATTGAATAGGTTAGAGAATTATTATATATAACAAAGTTATAATAAATTATATTTTATTAAATATATTTGAATATATAAAATATATTATATTTTTAATTTCTATAAGTAAATATTTTTAAATAAATAAATTATATTTTAGATTTATGATAGGTAATTTAAATTATGATATAAGATTATTTTTAATTAATTTATTAAAAATAAGAAAATTCAATTTAAAAGTAAATATGATAAATATAAACTGATATAGATAAGAAATATAAAGAATTTACAAATTCACTGAAAAAAAAATATAATTGATCATGTTAAAAAGAAAGTATTAAAATTAAAATATTTTCGCATTAAATAGTTGTGTTCAATGTATAGAGGTGAATGTGCTGGTTGGATTGTGCTTAGTTCTAAAGGAATTCCATGCACTTCGAAACTATGAATAGTGTTGGCATAATGTAACTCAACTCAGCTCATCATGTTCAACATAGCACAAGTATCTTTAATAATAATCAAAAGGATTGTGCTTGTTATGATGCCCAAAACCATAAACAAGCAAATAAAAAAGATAACCATAATGTAAACACCAACCGTTGATTTAGAATTCTTTTGTCACCAAGTTGAGTTGGCACGAGTAAAGAGAAACTCCTATCATTTAATCAAGTGTCCAAGAATCAAATTTTGCTTTTTGTAAATGCAAAAAATTCAAGATAGAAGAAGATGTTTATCTATTTAGTATCTGTCAAATTTTTGAAAAAGATATCCTTGTCTTCAATGGAAAATATTATTTGGTAATAAAAAAGAAAAATAAAGTTCACTTGTCACCATTGGTTCTCATCATTTATTATAGAGTTAATCATCCCTACATTGTCAATGTAAAGTTTTTTACACTGACAACCAATCATATTTTTTAAATTATTTTATTTTATTTTTATTTTATTAAATAAGTAACTGGCATGACACTATTAAAAGATATAATTAGTTGTCAGTGTACACCCGACAAAGTATATAAGTGATTAACGTTATATGCTTTAAAGTTATAGAGTACGAGAGGGATAAATTGCTGACAACGGTAGAGCATACATTGTTTAAACTAACGAAGAAACAGTGCACCAGCAATCATTTGTCAGCAACAAGGGCCTCAATTTTGTTTTCAAGGTGAGCTTCATGATCCTCAAGGCGACCTTTGGCTGCATCATTCTCCCAACGGACCAACGCTGCCACCCCAGTGAGCTTGAACATAAATGTAAGAGTTAAAAGCTTACTATCAAGTTATACAACATAAATAAGCTTATGTTGTTCTGTTGAGAAAATAGGTTATGCACAGTTACACTATACTTGAATTCAAGCCCTACAAATAATGCTTTGTTCAAAGTCAAGCATCCTTGTAAATAGTTACAGTCCCCAGCTCCCAAAAATTTTCTTGTTTTGAGATGTAAACTTTATGTTTTATGACTGATGTGGAAGTTGAATGATAGATTTCAAAGACGTTGATGTACAACCAAAAAACCCTTATGGTGATGTCAGCTCGTAGTCAGCCTCCATAAGGTTTTTTTTTGGTTCAATAGAGGAAAAGGCACCTCACTGTACTAGTACATCAATTTGATCCCACAAATTTTTCTTCATTGATCTGCCGTTGGGTGTGTATAGCAGACACAAGGCAAATTATGACCAGCTTGACAGATGTTTTACAATGTTTTACGTCACTTTATTTTGCATGTACATTTGCATCATGTTTAATTTATATTAAACATAATGGTTGACTTCCTCCGTTTATTTAATCCATATATAGTTGACAAAAAACAGAACATAATTTAGGATTAAGTTTGAGTTTCCACCAAGTAGTTATGTCTGATTTTTATTCATGTGCCACATAAAATTCAAAGATGATGCTCCATTAGCCAAGCCCAAGTGGTCTGCCTTTGCTTCCCAATGGGTCTGTAATTGGGTTTTGCTTAAGTTCTAATTTCTGAAGAAATTCCATAATCCATGCAATTCAAAATCATGAATAGTTGTAGTATATGTAACTCATCTCATGTTAAACATAGCACAAGCATCTTCAGTAACCAAAGGGATAAGATTTTGTTTTGCATGTATAAGGCGATCTCTGAGCCCATTCATCTAAACAACAGTGTGTTTGAATTTAACATTTTTCCCACAGCAACCCAACTTTCTCTGTGATGACTCTATGGAATGAAAGGAGTGACTGCACGGTAAAATGCAGCAACCTGATTCATTTTAAAAAGCCTTCAAAACTCGGCTATGTAGTATGAAGGTGTGAATTCTGGATCAAAATTTTCAGTCTGCAAAAACACCACATAGGTAACTGGTGCAGTTTAAATTGTTGATCACATAGTAATTTCCACATTCAGGATATTGCTTAGTTGGTAAACAGCAAGCTGAACATTATCCAGTACATTTATGATGCCCAAAACCATAAACAAGCAAACAAAAAGTAACCATTTATTTGTAGAGTTCCCTTGTCACCATTGATACTCATCATTTATTATATGCTTTAGAAGCAAAATTATAAAGTATGGGAGGGACAAATTGCTGACAAGAGTAGAGCATCCATTGTTTAAACTATCTAAGAAACAGTGGACTATAACAATCATTTATCACTTGTCAGCAACAAGAGGTTGAATTTTGTGTTCAAGGTGAGCTTCATGATCCTCAAGGCGACCTTTAACTGCATCATTCTCCCAACGGATCAACGTTGGAACCCCAGTGAGGTTGAACTTAGGGTCCACCCTCCATGGATGCCGAGGGTTCCTCCATGTTGGTCTGTCTCCAACATAAGCTCTCAAAAGTGCAATGTCATCAGGTGAAGCCTCCAGCTTCTTGTAGATCACAGGTTCTGCTCTCACACAATCTAAGAACCAAAAGGAGAAAACTAGTCATAATCATGGATTCTCATATACTACTCACGCATCTCTGTACCATCAAACTTTCATTGGTAATTTATATTCAACACTATAGATTGAAAGAATTGAAGCATTCACAGAACATCGATATGTGAGAAGCTCTTCTTCCTGCAAGTTAAAAGATGTACTTGGTTTCCCCAATATTGGAATACAAAAAACTCTTAACCCCCAATTTTGTGGCATGTCATCAAAGAATTTCCATTGATATTGCCACAATTTAACTAAATGAATTCTGATGCATTACAGTTTTTTTGCTACTATTTCAACAACAACAAAAAAACCCTGAAAAATCCTTGAAAGATTGGAAATAGAGTTGTCAAGTAAACACTCACCTTAGTTTCTGAATATGGAAGACATTGTTATATTGATTTATGAAAATAAAGAAATTATAATTTTTTTTTCTTAATTTAACTACTTAATGTCATTTTAGTCATTAAATTTATATCAATATAATCATTTTATTCACATTTTTTTCTGTTTCAGAGACTACATAATAGCTTCTTTCAAATTTAAGGACCATTTTAGGTGTTTACGTGGAGTTGACACAATCACCAAATTACCACACTCGGAATTATTAAATGAGAAATTGAGAAGCGTTAGATGAAGATGAAATGAGTAAGATACCAGGGCACCAGCTGAGAGAGGTAGCAGGATCTTTGTCAGCCAAGAAGAGGATGAGATTTGCCTTGTTTTTTGGAGCCTCTGATCGGAACTTCGCAAACACCCCATCAAAGCTCGACACCGTCGCCTCTAACACCTTCAATGGCATCTTCTCTACAAAACAAAAATTCACACCACTCAATTCTCAGTTTCTCTTCCTACTGAAATTTTCATACACTATCATATGATCCCACCACACCCCTTATTACCTTATGCTTATTTATTTATTTATAATAAAGTATTTAATGTTGTCCCATTTACTGAAATGTGAAAATGACATAACTTTTAACGTATATTTTGCAAAACAGTTTTTTATGCTCCAGACAAAGAAAACAAGAAGCATAGAACACTACAATGAATGTTGACACTTTTATCTTTATATCTCGATTATATTGGTCTTAATGTACGTAGACATCTTAATTGTCCAAGTACATTCCACAATTTAAGCATATGTCCAAAAAAATTCTAATTGGATCAACAATAAAAGCTAATTAAATTTGTAAAAAACAAAGAAAACACAGGAGAAATTTGGTCTCATTGTATTTTTTCTTCCACGTGTATCTCCAGTCCACTTAGACCAGAAACTAGGTTGCATTGAGTTGTAAAAATTCTTTTCTTAAATATTTAAACTCTTCTTTAAAGAATCAATGAGTTTTAATAACGAATGTGGGTAAAACGATATTACATAATAAACCACAAATCATTGAACCAATAATTTTTGTATTTGTCTAAAGGTACACTAGTAATCTTTTCGTATCTTGAGGGTCGAACAAGTGCTCCAAACTAAGATGCAAGGGGAGAGGTACCTGCAAAAGACTTTTTGACACTCAAGTTAGGACAAACACGAATATTGATAGTAGTAATAAATGAACAATAACCTCATTTTGTGTGATTATTTATACTAACAATAATGGGCTTAGACGTAGTGGGCCTCGCTCCCTGATTACCAATTAGGTAATACGATGACTAATGATGAATTAGCTCCTAACCTTACATTATCTTTGTTAATTATGCAACTAGTTGTAATAAGGTTCGATAATGCCACCATCTCGACATTCTCGGCTTTCAGCTTGGCCGGGAGGGCAAGGGTCACTCGTGGATAAGGATCATGCACTTTGGTGGTTGAGACAACTGAGATGTCTGATTCTAGTGTATCGGGTTGTTTGAATCATACCAGATGTTTTCGATAGCCTCGACCGCTAGTGTGGCTGAGATGGCCGAACCAAATACATCTGTGCAGGTTGTTTAGGTCTTATCTAGCACACCTTGGCATGTCATCAGTTAACGAGGCCAACAAGTCCGAGATGAGACGACTGAAGGGTTTCATGTTAATTTGGCTAAGCATTCAGCTATATGCCACATGGCATGCCGCTCGTGTGACACATGGCCACATGTTCCCCCCTAGTACACAAGCCCCCCAGCCTTTAGGAGCAAAGCGATGTGAAGGTTATAACATTATGGAGGCTATCTTGTAACGGTTGTAACAGCCGTGACTCTTTAATGCGAGGCGTTACAGTAGGGGAAGTCAAAGGGTCGTAACCAGTGGACCCTTGGATTGAACAGATCCAATGGTTTGTAAGGGTGTGTCGCTTAGGGTTTTCACCCATGGACATTATAAATAGTGGGTGGGTTCTTTGATATTGAGGGGACGCCTTTGTTTCCCTTTTACTGGACTCGAGTGCCTTATAAGTATGATGTCGTGTTGACTTCATATCTTTCCCCCGAGGAAAAGACTAGCCTCGGCTTTCTCTTGCGTCTACCTCGACGTTTGTCGTGTCGACCCTTGGTCAGTCTATCACCAAACTAAGATGCAAGGGGAGAGGTACCTGCAAAAGACTTTTTGACACTCAAGTTAGGACAAACACGAATATTGATAGTAGTAATAAATGAACAATAACCTCATTTTGTGTGATTATTTATACTAACAATAATGGGCTTAGACGTAGTGGGCCTCGCTCCCTGATTACCAATTAGGTAATACGATGACTAATGATGAATTAGCTCCTAACCTTACATTATCTTTGTTAATTATGCAACTAGTTGTAATAAGGTTCGATAATGCCACCATCTCGACATTCTCGGCTTTCAGCTTGGCCGGGAGGGCAAGGGTCACTCGTGGATAAGGATCATGCACTTTGGTGGTTGAGACAACTGAGATGTCTGATTCTAGTGTATCGGGTTGTTTGAATCATACCAGATGTTTTCGATAGCCTCGACCGCTAGTGTGGCTGAGATGGCCGAACCAAATACATCTGTGCAGGTTGTTTAGGTCTTATCTAGCACACCTTGGCATGTCATCAGTTAACGAGGCCAACAAGTCCGAGATGAGACGACTGAAGGGTTTCATGTTAATTTGGCTAAGCATTCAGCTATATGCCACATGGCATGCCGCTCGTGTGACACATGGCCACATGTTCCCCCCTAGTACACAAGCCCCCCAGCCTTTAGGAGCAAAGCGATGTGAAGGTTATAACATTATGGAGGCTATCTTGTAACGGTTGTAACAGCCGTGACTCTTTAATGCGAGGCGTTACAGTAGGGGAAGTCAAAGGGTCGTAACCAGTGGACCCTTGGATTGAACAGATCCAATGGTTTGTAAGGGTGTGTCGCTTAGGGTTTTCACCCATGGACATTATAAATAGTGGGTGGGTTCTTTGATATTGAGGGGACGCCTTTGTTTCCCTTTTACTGGACTCGAGTGCCTTATAAGTATGATGTCGTGTTGACTTCATATCTTTCCCCCGAGGAAAAGACTAGCCTCGGCTTTCTCTTGCGTCTACCTCGACGTTTGTCGTGTCGACCCTTGGTCAGTCTATCAAAGTCATCGGAGATATACCACGACTTAATCGGTATAATGTCTTTCCTTTAATTGTTCTAAGTTACTTGTGTTATCATTGATTTTGAGTCATTTTCTACAAGTATCACAACGACCTGTGGGAGCGATGACTTGGACATTCGGAACTTGATTGGTGACCAAGTGCATGAGGCTATTTTCGATAGGGTGTTAATCAAAGTGAGGCCGAGCAAGAATCCTATCCCCCCTCTGGCCAACGTTGTGCTTCCCCAAACGAACAAGAGAGATAAGGGGAAAGGGAAGGGCTCCAAGGATTTGCATCGACATTGGTCCAAGAAGAGAAGGACCGTAAACGTTGTGGCCAAAGAGGCTACGTGAAAGATGAAGCAACAAAAGCTGCCTACTTTTATCGTCCCTCATGCTTTGGTTGGGTTGAGCTTTTTAGTTGTCAAATTCAAGGCCAAGGACCACTTGAGCCACGACCTGACTTTACCAAAATGACCTTAAAATAAATTGATTAAAAGGAAAGAGAATCTGGTTCTTTTGTCTTAAAATTTTGGTATAGATTGCTAACATACTCTAACTAAAACATGGGTGGGAGTATGTTAACAATCCCTATATATATATATATATATATGCATGTGTATATATATATATATATATATGCATGTATATATATATATATATATATATATATATATATATATATATAGAGAGAGAGAGAGAGAGAGAGAGAGAGAAAGAAAGAAAGAAAGAGAAATCCATTTATTTTAGGAGTATATCTATTTAGACTTACTTCGTTCAATAATTCATGTTTCACATCAAATTCAACGATCCAACCGTTAAATTTAAAGTTCTTAATGCATAGATCAAGTTTGCAAATTTTTTAAAAAAATTTAAAACTATTTGATACTTCATTTCATTTATTCAATTCAATGTATAAAATACTCTTATGATTATCTATCAATTTAAATTAATAAAAAAAAGTATCAAATGGTTTTGAGATATTTAAAAAAAATTAGACTTGATTTATGCATTAAAAACATTAAATTTAACGATTGGATCCTTGAAATTTGATTTAGAATATGAGTTATTAAATGGAGTAAGTCTAGGTAGACTTAAGGAGTAAACATATCCCTTCTCACATATATATATAAACCCTAATCATCAATCAAGCGTCTATACATGACTATGCTACATCAAAGTAACATTAACAAAATGAGTCATCACCAACATGACTCTCCACCATCCAACCAAGTAAACTTGCTAATCTTACCCTTATACTAAATATGATCATTGCAGTTCCAACCTTAAGGAGAAAGAAAAGGTAAGCTTATAAAAAGTATTCAACACACAACAACAACATAACTGACAACACAAGAAACTTCAACTACAACAATCATCTTACAATGAAACTTCAGCTTATCACCAACTATAACACATATAACTTATAACACAACACAACAACATTAACATAACATTCTCAACACAAACAACAATAAGCAACTAATGCATCATCATGCACATCAACTACAAAGATCTTCTATAACAGAGGTCGACAATTTAAGTGGCTAGAACTTACAAAATCATAGTGTCTAACCTATCACAATCAAGTTAAGTATAGGAAATGTCAAGCCTCAAAAAGTGTCAGGTATACAACTTAAATTGATTTCTCAGGTTTCATGACTTAAATTAGGGAGTCTAGTATTCTTGTCAAGGTAGAACAATTTGAGTGTAAACCTACCACGACATTAACTTGTAACACTAAGCCTCCTGTGAGATTAACCTATTGACTATCTTCTGAATACCACACTCTTCTAGTACTTAGTTAGGGACTAAGTCCCTGACCTTGTACCTTAGTTGGTCACTTTATACTTGTATGACTCAACCTAGCCTCCATACAAATTCCACATAAAACTTAGAGGAGACAATGTAAAACAATTACCCACTTAGAATCCAACTTACTTACTGAAGGGTTCTCATCTTAGGCTCTCGAAACACCACAACTTATATATACACTATGTGATATTTTAAAAATTCTGAAAAATAATTTTATTCTCCTTTAATTTTAAGACATGTATCTTTACCAAATGCCTAATAGATTAACAACTTAATCAACTATAACATCATACAACTTTATAACTTATTCATTATTTAACTCACAACTTAATAACATAAATAACTTTATACATTATCTCAACTCAATGCATAATGAACTATCTTCATTTAACATTCATCATATCAAAAAATCATCATTCTTTAATTATAAAAGAACTCCACATATCTCACATAAATCATACAACTTACATTGGATGCCTGACGCCATTAAGACTAGGGATTTATGTCTCCCTCACCTTCGACACCAACACACCTAGCGCCTGCGTTGATGAGGCAAAGAGTTTCCCACTCTTTCATGTCTGGCATGGAAAAAT